TTCAATATTCCAAGAAAGCAGGCATGTTTTGCTAAATTATAATGGTGCACTAATGCCATGCATTTTCAAAAAAAAGTCAGCGGAAGGTCTTTTTTTTGAGTGTCGTGAGCTTGAATTTTGATTTCCGGTAATGCAAATGATATTGACTGCAGTAAGCAACAATTAAAGCATTCTATTAGTTCGCTTCATAACATCAATAAAGATGAGCTTTTGAGGCCTGAAGCGTTTCCGTGAAAGCGCCAAAGATCCCGTTTCTGAGAATGACTAAAATGTTCGAGCCGAAAGGATGATTCAAATTTTATTCATTCAGAGAAAAGAGTAAAAACACCTAAAAGCATTGCTTGATTCATTGGCAGTTCTGTTTGTGCCAGAACGCCTCAGAATGCTAAAAAGTAACGAAATTTGAATGAAAATCTTTATCTAATCCAGTGGAATGGCAACAAATTGGAAAGAAAAGTGATAAAAAATTACATGGGAAGTTGCGAATCGATTGAAAAACTTCAAAGTTAAGTAATAAACTTAACAAAACATTGTTGTAGAATGCTATTTTGTGGGGAGATGTCAAATCTAAACAAGAGGCATAACTGCTGGTTGTTTTGTTGGCTGCAAACATACACGGTGAACTTTAAAAATTTTGTTAAATTAATTCATACTGATAAAAAGGAGCAAATCACCGGATCATGATGGTGAATGCAATGGTGCAGCATCGGCCAGCGGCTCCGAAATGCAACTTTGCGGCGTATTTGTACTGTTATTACCAGGGGTGGCACAACGTGCTGGTCGGGATGCAATTGCCGGGCATGCTCCTGTGCCAACTGTCAGTGGTGCTAGCAATGGCCCATTCGAAGTAAGCAACGGACGTGAAATACTGCAAAACATGAAAAATACTTAAAAATTTAAAATATGCTCAAATAAGTGCATGCGTTCTAAAATCTCAGGTAAAATCAACGATATTCGAAAAAGTGTATCAATATCAAAAGCCAAAACTCCTTCCATGTTTATTCTCCAGGAAAGGTGAAGGCACTCGGAAGTAATCTATACAAGATGCCAACAGCTACCGCACACTGGCCAAGCTATCGATGACTTGAAATTATTTAGAAACAAGCTGATGCCGAGTTTTAAATCCACTGCACGCGACTGTGCTAATTTAACATGGAAACGAATGAGCAAAAGCAGAGGAGTGGTTGTCCCACTGACTGAGTCGAACTCACAATATTTATCACGAGATCTGCAAGGGTGCCATGCCCGTCAGCAAAGGCCACTGAGATTTATTATGCAGTGCCAAAGAACATCTCACACTCATTTTCCTTCTGGATTCGCCAGTATTCCAAAAAGCTTTTGCCACGAGCTTCCTTAACCCAACAGACTCAACATGAGCAAAATGGAGCAGCTGTCTTTGCCGTCATTTTTTTGCCACGCCATCCCTTGGTAGAAAGCCATCAATGGCAAAAAACGGCGTTTCCGAATTGCTTACTAGAAGCATTACATAAACATCTCTATTACATATGCATATTCTTTTTACAAGCATAACTAGCACTTGCGCTTATCCCTTTCAATTTTGAAAAAAAAAATCTATGGCCTAATTCTGGCACCCACTGGCTGAAGTGATAACAGCGCTTTAATCCGCTTATAAACGTCTGGACAGCAAAGCAAGGAAAGCTTGAGCCTTAAGATACAAAAACTTCTGAAGATTCTTACGATGGAGGGCAGAATTTGGGCATAAGCGTGGACCTCCAAGCCTCGTAATAAAACGGATTGAAAAAATATGCAGTCATGTGATGGTCAACAAAGGGCCAGTGTAACGATGCCATTTTTTGCCGCTTGTCCTTCATCCGCCTGTTTTGGAACCACACCTGCAATTTTATGATTAACAAAACTGATCGCGCGTTTGAAGTGCGCTAATCATTGTTTCTCCCGGGTAAATTCTGAATATGACACATTTGAGTGGAAATTAGCTACACATAAACGCGCCCATAAACGTATAGTATGCACTTACACACACACGCAAAAAAAACACACGTATACAAATAAACACAGCTACATATTCACTATGCTTTTCTACACAAACCATTAGAAATCACTGGTGACGCGCACCGTTGGGCAGCCATGCGATCATGCGGTTCGTGCTGTTGTATAACCGCTTGGAGTCCCAGTAGCTAGAATTTGTGGCATACTGGTCCTCAAGTTCAGGGAATTAATTGTGCAATTACATGGTACTGGTCAGGGAACATCTCTCCAAAATTTCACCTTTCTTCCTTTCCTAGTCTCCGAGTTAACGATTTTCTCGCCAAAAATTTTTGAGGGGCCGTGAATGAGAACTACGCTTGCCTGGGCCAAATTTGAAATCTTTAATTTAGTCATTTAGTTTGTGTTTAATGTTGCGAAATGTTCCTGATAATAGATATAAATTTAATTTGCATCCTGAACGTGCACGATGTAAAAAGCTAGGAAGCAGAGGAGTTGAAATTGGTTTTTTGACCAATTTTTAGTTTTCTTGTCCTTTTCCACTTCGGAAATGCTAGAAAAGGGAGCTAAGAATAATCTTCTTCACAGTTCGACGGGAACCTTTCTGAACTGGAATCACGTTTAAGTGTGTGTAGCCGGAGCAAATATCCACTGAGCTTGACTGAACAAAAACACATCCATGTTTCGGCTTCTCCGTGTACAGCACTGTTCGTTTTCAAAAATGGCATTTGCTCATTCAGTGTAGCTGCCGGTAGTGGTGCTCGAAAAGAAAAAACAGCAATCGTCTGGAGTGCGTTCGAACAGCTACAGTATGCAAACCGGATGAATGGAGTGGACTTCTAATGTGCTATGATGATGGAAGGAAAAGAATTAGATGGGCCGTGTGGAGCCTGACTAGGCCGTCTACTCTTCGGCTGCATCGCCTGTGGCCAGATTAGAGCTCATCTTGGGAAGGGTGGCGCATTATGACAGATTGTTCATTTCAAATGCGTGTACAGCGGATGCTCCACGGGATGCGGAGCAGAGGAGGGGGTGAATTGAAAGAGCTTCCATCCCAAGCATCTGCAAATTTCTTTTAGCTTCTTCCTCCTCATGCTCTGTTTTTGCCATTGGTTCGCAAGAGGGCAAGCGGGCATGATGAAAGTCATCGCCAGCCAAAATATTTGTGAACAAGTGAGAGGCACGATGGCAGTTAAATCTCGCAATAGAGCTGGAGAGGGCCCAGCATAGCTTAGACTGAACTTGCAGCGCTGCCGCCTTGCTACAGACATATTATTTCAATATAATCTTGTGCAGAGAGTTTCTCCAAAGCATCCTCTTCATCGCTGTGTCTCCAGGGATCCATATACGGAATAATCCTACAGTAATGCTTCGTTTACTTTTAGAGAAAATTTTGAAGAAGTTGCTTAATTCTTGAAGAAGTTGCTTGTCCTATCTCTGAGAATTCGAACTGGAGACTCATTTATCATCCATTTAGACCTCAACAGCCAAACAAATAAATATTTTCGCTCTTCCCCCTCTTCGCTGTTCACGAATTGAATTCAATTTTGCCTGCAGCAACGTCCTATCATTCATTTGCGATTAGCCCCACTGAGAATTGTGACTAGTTGAATGTGCAAGTACACAAATTAAACGCGCTGTTAATATATGTCGATTTACAGCAAAAATCACTGATAAATAAACTGAGACACTTGTTTCATGCAGCACTCGCTCGTCGGTGTGACGCAGTGCGCTACTTTCAGAACTAATATTTGTTGTCGCAAACATATTTAAGGCATAGACTACGTCAACCGACTGTTAATAAACACTGTAATCATTCGCAGCGCGCATCAGCTCGGGGCCAGCGCGAGTGTATGTTTTTGCATAAGTCGTGCTAAGATGGTTTAGAGGGAGTGCTTTTGCCTCACTATTTTAAGTTTCCGGGACTGCTTTTCCGTCAAAAATTTG